TTAGATTTAAATTTTCTTGAAACTTTAAAAAATAATAATGGTAATGTCGTAAGTTCATACGCTATTATTGCCAATACAAATACAAATGATGTCTTTAAAAAGCTCATTTTTATAAATTGTCCTAGTTGTAATCATTCATTTTTAGCAACACCTTATAATACAATTTTGCACGATGACGACGAACAAGAACTTGAAAACTTATTTAGCAAACTTGAAAAAAAGCTTGAAGATTTAATGGAAGCAAAAGAAAAGCCTGTATTTAGCAATATTTACGCCTTAATTCCATATAAAATTTCGAAAATCGAAAAACTGCATTTAGCAAAAATAAGTAAAAATCAATACAGTAAATTTCAAAGAGTAAAAAAAAGAATCGATGATTTTATCATTGGTATTTTTAAACAACTTATTCATCAACAAATATCATGGCATCGATATATTTTAATTGACAAAGTTTTAAAATTTACTATTCAAGTTTTTGTCTTTATTAATGAACACAACTCTTTTGGAAGCGGAGCGTTTTACAAGCAACCTTTTTTTGATGATAGGCTTAAACATCAAAAATATAGATTTACAACTATTTTTTCGGGTTCCGATTTTTTAGATATGGTTAATTTAACAAAAAAAATACTAAACCAAGATCAGTGTTTTTACCATAAGAAAGAGGATTTATTAAACAAATATCTTAAAGGTTTATGCGGCCGTATTGAATACATATCTAAAAATTTAAACAAGTATACTAGTGATTTAGATGAGCTTGACAATTTTTACATGAAATTAAGAAAAGTAAATTTTTAAATTTAACAATTTTTTAGAATTTAATTGTTGTGTTTACGGGGATAAGCCCCATTTTTAAAATACTTTTCAAAAATACCACAAATTTGATAACCCTTATTTTTATCAATATATTAATTATTACCATAATCTATCTTCTGCACATACGCGTTGCTTCTTCTATTGTTCATTTTTTGTCATACCAAAGGCTATAACAATAATGTAGAAGTAATCATTTTTTGTGAGAGGCTTAATTAATAAATATGACTTTAAAAGTCAAGTATTTAACAAATTATCCAAAAAAAACAGAAGTTTTGGAACAAAAAAGCAAAGTGATCATTTTAAGGTGCAAATTGAAATGTTAACAATTTTTTTAAACCCCTGTGGCATAAACTAGCCAATAAGTATAAAATGTTTTATTTAATAAATTTATTTTTGCAAATTTACTAATATTTTTTTATTAATTTACAATTTATTCTATGTAAGATTAATCGTTAGGCGCCTTTTCTACCACAGGTGAATAAAGCCGGCTTTGATTAAATTATTTTTGTACCCTTAAGACAAAAATTAATCTTAGTAAAAATATAATAAAAAGCATTAGAGGTGGATTTTTAATTGAATATGAAGGCTATTTTTATAATTTTATTAGTTATTTCTTCAACATTTATAGATAGAGATGTAATAAAGAGGTTGCAAATCATATCTGCTAAGTAACTTAGGAAATGAACTTATATCTATATCTGAGCATAACCATTTGGTTAATGAAAATAAATCTTTATCAACTATAATATTAGAAAAAGCGAAGTAGCGCTTAATTAAGCGTTTAAAATCGTCAAAGGATATTATTTTTAATTTTTTACAAGAAAATGATGAAAGTGAAATAGAGATCAAATACAAATATTAAATAGATAAAATTACTAAATTTAGAAAATTTAATAATTTTACATTATCTTCTGATTATGATAATCCAAAAGAACTATTATACACAGTAAGTGGCAAATTATTTTTGCTTTTTGATACCGGAATGGATAATTCTGAAAGAATTCAAATCTTCTCAACAAATGAAAATATTGAACATTTCAAACATAACATTATTATATGTTGTGATGGGACTTTAAGACTGCTCCAACTAACTTTTAACAAATCTTTACTTTTCAATGTAGAATTTGTAATGAATTTAAGCTTTTGGTATATTGTATTATGAAGAGAAGAACTACAGCTTGTTATATTAAAATTTTGAGCATGGTTAAAAGATGTTAAACTGACAGATAAACATAATATAATTTTGGACTTTAAACAAACTTCATTTAAAGCTTTTTAATTAATTTTTACTAATAATCAATGTATGGATGTGTACTTCATCTAGGCCAAATTTTTAAAAAAAATTCAAGCATGCGGGTATGCAAGTAAACATAAAAGCGAAAAAGTTTTCGGTTTAAATAAAAATGCTTCTGTCGTTGACGTTTGTATCGGCTTCTTTTGTATTGTTAGAGATTTCAGGGCTTAAAATTATTTTGGGCTGAAAAATTCAGGTTATCATTGAAAATTTTTGACTAGTTTTATAATTTCTATCTTCTTAATGATGCAAATACAAACAATTGTATTGGCTTTTGCAATGCTTATAACAGAACTATAAACAATACTCCTAGGACAACAAATAGTTTACGAGGATTTCAAAGACAATTGATTTTATTTATTAATGGTAAAAATTCAAGTATTTTTGCCATTCTTTCAGAACTTTAAAAGAAGAAATTTTAACAGAAAATTTTTTCATTACTTTCTTATACAAATGAGAACGGAAAAAAGACAAAATGCATGCTATAGTCTATGATTATGAAAAATATTTCGGAAATGATTACTTAAAATGCATTACTTTAAACTTTAATTCAACTGAATTATTTAATTTTTACGAAATATTATTTAGACTTTTAAAATATAAAAATGGCGTCATTGTTAATAAAAATCACTCCCAAAATTCTCAACCATATAAGTTCTTTTTCTTTATAAAAAGGGGTACAAAAAAAAATTAGTGATAACGACGGCTGTTTTCAACTGTGATGAAAAAAGCGGCAAGCCAAGATTAATAAGTTAAGCTATTTTTTTTAATCAGATTTTTTTGTAACTAAATCAAAAATTTAAAAAAGACAAAATATGCTCTAACAAAGTCTCCTACGTTTAGTCAACGATAGATTTAAGACATTTTTATAAGAGAGGCAAACTAAATAACAATGCTAATAAATACGGCCTTTTGAAACTTTATTTATATATTTTTTAAAATAAATTATTCACTTTATGATTGTCATCTATCTGCTTATTGTAAATTTTTCGTTAAATTGTTATACATTTGTTTATAAGATTATTTTTTTAATAAATTTTTTATTTGAAGGTTAAATTAATTAACAACTTTTATTTTATCAAAAAAGACTTCAACGTGGGTTAATTTCTGTGTAGAATCCTCTTCCCTTTTAGGTTTCTCAACTATTTTTTAGTAATTCAAAATTAATTTATTTAAATAATACCACATAATTTAAGAAAATTATTGATACTTAAGCATTAATTATAATAATGCTACTTGTGGATTAAACTTAGTGATAACTCTAAGTAGCCTGCCTACCTAGTACAATTTTTTTGAGGATAAACATTTTTTACTATAACTATGTTCTCGTTGGTATGAATGTCTTTATGCGCCCTGGGGCCTTTGTCTCGCAATTTTTTTTGATCCAAAAAAATATGTTAGTTCCGAATGTAGTAATTAATGCCGCATATATTTTAAAGTAAATAAAAAAAACTATTAGTTTTTTTATGAGCCAAAGTTTATAAAAAGTAATCGGTAACAAGATTTGTTTAAAACAGAACAGTTGTAAATAATCTTTGCATAATTGTCAACGAGGCGCATAATACTGCTAAAAATCCTAATTTAAATTTTTATAATAAATATACAAAAGCCTTGCTATTATAAATTTTATTAGTACTTTAAAGGTACTTAAAATAAGCCTAACTTCTGCTTATTAGATCTAGAATACTACAAAGCGTAAAAAAATTACAAGAAGTACCTTTGTAAAGTTGAATATACATCTCAAATAACTACACTGAATTAAAGTATATCTGATTAATATTTAATCCATTCCTTTTTTTTATTGATTAGACAATTTTAAAAATTTTTATTGTTTTTTGCCCCATGGAAAATTCTAAAAAATTTGTCAAATACATCTCTGATTCTATCAGCAACATGTCTTCAATGTTATATGATTCATCCTCAGAAATTCATGAAGCTAATTCAATATCAGATGATATAGAAATGTCAAATATTGATACACTTACTTCGCAAGACTGGAGTAAAAATAATGTTTGCGATGAGACAATTATTATTAAAAAATCAGAATACGATAAAGTGTTAAATGAGTTATCTTTTTCAAGAATGCAAAATAATAATTATAAAATCAAAGAAAGGGAATATGTAAGAATGAAAAATGATTACGATAGAACTTTATCATTTTTACTAGAAAATAATCAAATTACTAACATTATACCACCTGATATAGTGGAGAATAATATGTCTATTATTAATGATAATGATATCAATAGATTGAGAGCAACTGAATGTCGTCTTAAAAGTCATATAAAGGCATTAAAAAAGGATTTATTTGATTCGGAACAAAGAGCAGATGCATTTAAATGTATAGCGCAAAATGACATAGAGATATTGAAAGAAGAAATTTTACATCTTAAACAATCATTACATTCAGAGAGGGAGCGCTGTGCGGAATATTCAAACAAAATGAAACGATTAGAAGATATTTTACAAAGCAGATGTGAAGAAAATATTGAATTAATAGAGTACTGTAAATATTTAATGCGATAAATTTTATAAATTTAATTTTTTTTGTTGTAGACTTACTCCTAATTTTCTCCTTTTTACTACTTACAAATCATTTTTTAAATTTCATCTAATTGTTTTTTAAGTTGTTATCATTTTATTTTTCTACCCTTTTTAATGGGATTCAGAAAAAGCAACACAAGTGACTCATTTATAGAAATTGAAGGGCGGAGAAAGACGATTTTATACAACTTTTATAATTTTTTTTGTATAATTACCTTTGGAATTTTATACATAATTTGTAAAAACTTTCCCAGAGTTAGAATTGTACTTACTACAAAACAGTGTGATTTAAAATCAGCGGATAAAGCCGTTATTACAAATAAATTTAAAAAACACGAGTTGGTTGATATATTAGTATATAAATGTACTAAGTCGCAACTCATGTCTAGATTTGTATTTAATGGGTATGTAAGAGTTATAGATACAGTGTATGCTCGACTTATATATGATGTGGGTTTTGAAAAATTTGTTGTTTATAGTTATAAACAAACTAATTTTAATTTCGATGAAATTTTTATGAATAAAATTAAAATTTCAGAGCATGAAGAAAAGATTCAACTAAGAGAAAAAGGAATTTTATATGGAAAAAATTTTAATAATCTTAGATTTCCTTCAATTGTAGAAATATTTATCAAGAACACATTTAATTTTACAAATCTTATTGATATTTTTTGTGTTGTATTGTGGTTTAATATCGAATATAAAATATATGGGTCGATTGTAGCTCTTTTTCGGCTATACTCATATGCACAGGACATTATATTAGAGATTAAGGTTAAACATGAACTTGAGACAGCAAAAAAGAATATAAAAATTAGAACTTATAGAAATAGAAGTTTTTGTTATATTGATTCTGTTGATTTATTACCTGGAGATCTTGTTTATATAGAACCTTGTGAGGATTTCCCAGTTGATGTTATTATTTTAAAAGGTGATGCGATAACAGATGAAAGTTTTTTAACTGGCGAAAGTGTTCCGATTTGTAAGTCTGCAGCGTATAGATCTATAGTATATTCTGGCACTGCCGTGTTGCGTAGTGTTGATGAATCAAAGTGGTTGCCTAATAAAAAAATAGAATCGCTTTACAGGGTAAAAAATTTAACAAATAAAGGAGACTTAAACGTTAAAAGTTTAAAAAATTTGGATAGAAATGATTTTTTAAATTTAGAAAAATCTAGAAAATCAAATTTAGTCGAAGATATTTCAAAAAATACTTTCGTATCTAAAAATTCTTCGTGCAATTTTGCTTTGGGAATAGTTATTGCTATAGGATTTAACACAACAAGAGGAAAAATTATGAAAGATATAAATAATCCTAAGCCCGTTTATATACCTTTTTTAAACGAAGCACATAAATACATATTTTTTACAATAATAATTGCTGGTATATCGGTTGTATTTTTCTTGATTTATTTTGATAAAATTTTGAAATGGGATCTTATAGATAATCTTGTTTATAGTGCTGATTTGTTTTTTACACTTGCATCTCCTGCACTTTATGCGTCATTATCAGTAGGAGTTCAAATTTCTAGCAAAAGACTTAGAGATGATAAAATTAAATGCAATAATAGTGATCGATTATTTATTTCAGGAAACGTAGATATGGCTATTTTTGATAAAACAGGAACACTTACAAGCGAAGGAATGGATTTTTTATTTTTTGATAATTTATATTCAAAATCATATAATGCAGATCAATTAGATCCTTTGTCTAGAATAGGATTTAGTTCATGTCATTCGGTTTATGAATTAGATGGTAAATATTCGGGGGATGCGCTTGATATTCAGATGTTTATAGTTTCTGAATCTAAATTAGAAATGGGTGGAAATGGTCAAAATGACAGTATTCGAAAAATCATTATTGGTAAATCTGCTGGAATTTCAGGTCCTTTTCTAAAAGAATTTGGTGTAGATTCTGATAAATTGTTTTATCAAAATGTTACAAATTTAGAAACGTCTTATAATGATGTTATGGCTAGAGGATTTGGTAAAAACATTATTAATATTTTAAAAACGTATGATTTTACTTCTGAAAATAAACGCATGAGTGTCATAATTGAGCACCAAAATAAGAAATATTTCTATACAAAAGGATCACCAGATATTATTAAGCTTTTATTAAAAAAAATACCTGATGATTACGATAATAGAGTAAAAGAACATTCTTTATCTGGTTATCGCGTAATTGCAATGGGATATAAAGAATTAAAAAATATTGATAAGGAAGAAAATAATGAAAGTGAACTTAATTTTTTGGGTTTTATAGTTTTTTCAAATAAACTTAAACCTGAAACTTATGAAGTAATTGAAGAGCTAAACTCTGCTAACATTCATTCAATTATTTGCACAGGAGACAATATTTTGACGGCTATCTCTGTTGGTCGAGAGTGTAAAATCCTTGATGAGTCGATTACAGTAATTTTTCCTGTTTTAAATGAAAATTGTAAATCAGTGTATGATGCCGAATGGGTATGCCTTGGAGATGAAGATTTGGTGTTTGATAAAGTTAGACTAATTTTATACAAAAATAACTTTGACACATATTGTAATGATTTCGTTATTGCATGTGAAGGCAAAGAATATGATTTTTTTAAAGACACTATTTACCATTCATTCATTTTAGAGAAAGGTAAAGTGTTTGCGAGATTTTCTCCCGCACAAAAAAAAGTCTTGGTAGAAGATTTTAGAAGCATTAATAAAAATGTTCTTTTTTGTGGTGACGGTGCTAATGATAGTGGTGCCATTGGCACAGCAGATGTAGGCATAGCTCTTGCACAAAACGAAGCAAGTTTAGCATCTAGTTTTTGTGCAAGGAATATTAATGCTGTACCCTTAATTATAAAGGAATGTCGAAATGCTTATGTTTCTTCAATAGCATTGTTTAAATACGTTTCTATGTCTTATTTTTTAGCATTCGTTTGTCTTGGTTTTCCTGTTTTAAGATGTTTATTTTTAAGCGATTTCCAGACACTTCACATAGATATTTTTATTATTGTTCCAATGATGTTTTTTATTTCTAATTTTAAGAAAAATAATATTTTATACAAAAAATCTCCTAAGATATCTTTATTTTCTTTAACTGAGTTTTTACCCTTCTTTTGTAGTTTATTTTTTCAATCATTAATTATTTTTATTTTATCAAGATATGGACCAGAATCTAAACAAATTACAGAAGAATCTAAGGCAGGAACTATTATATTTTTTACTGCGGCTTTTCAATCTATTTTTAATGGACTTTATTTTAGTGATGCTGTTCCACATCGAGAGAGTATATTAAAAAACAAAAATATACTTTATATTAGTTCTTTATTTATGATTTGGAATTCTCTTTTGCTGTTTATAAATTGGTTTAATCATGATTTTACATCACGATTTTTGTCGGTATATTTGTTTGTAGAAATTTCTAATTCAGAACTTTTATTGATAATATTAGGAATTTTGGGCAGCAGTTTTTCGTCTTTTTTAGTTCCATATTACGTTAGAAAATTCTTAAATAGGAATTTACAATAGCTTAATTAATTTAATAATTAAATTTATTTAAAGTACTTTTTGTAACGTTTGTTATTGATTTTTGTTTTTGAAACATTTCAAAAATATCTTTGAAGCGTAAATAAACATTAATGAAGACAAAAGATGTGCAGTGGAAGTGTTTTTTTATTTTCTTTTATTTAACAATTATATCCACAGAGAAGACGTTTTTTGTGAATCTCAAAGAATTTAGAAACGGACAGCAATTGGTTGACGAAATAATGAAAAAAGCCAAAGCGATGCACTTGTCTAAGAGCGATACTATTAAAAGATTTCGAGTAAATCCACTTAAAAACTCCAATTTAATTGGTATAACACCAGTTATTTCAAAACTTATACCAGGCGAACAAAAAACTGAAGCAGGTGGCGGAGGCCAAAAGCCAGAGCAAAAACCTCCTGAACAAAAGCCTGAACAAAAGCCTGAACAAAAAACTGAACAAAAGCCTGAACAAAAGCAGGAGCAGAAGCAAGAGCAGAAGCAAGAGCAGAAGCAGGAACAAAAACAAGCAAAAGAAGAAAAAAAAGCTCAAAAAGAACAACAAAAAAAGGAAGAAGCGCCTAAGAAGGAAGAGAAGAAAAAAGAAATGGAACAGCAGAAAGAAGAAAAAAAAGCACAAAAAGAGCAAC